TCCGGTGTTCTTGTGATCTGACAGACATATCAGGGGCACGAGTAGAGCACGAGCCTGGAGGAACAATGGAAGCAGATGGCCTTTTCCTCTCCGCTAAATTAATTTCCAAGTTACAGAGCGAGAGGGGCCATTAAGAACTCTCAGAGGGGACATCAACGAGTGGACACGAAATATTGCTCCATGGAAAAAATTGTACAGAAAATAGTCACTTTCTGATGAGCAAAAGGGAGCATACAGAAGATACAATCTTGTTTTAATTGTTCCTAATCAAAAACACTAAACAACCTTTACTGAACAACTTACAGCCATAATAAGATAAAAGTAATGTCTATGTTAATTTGTCTCAAAAGAGACTTCAAAACAATGTGAACTGGTCAGTCTCCGTTTCAGTGCAATGTTTACAATCTAATTGTATAAAATTCAAATTTCCACATTTTTGGAGGCTATATGTTTTATTTTAATTAAACACAACAGATCCATAGTGAAAATAAAGAAGTAGCTAAATAAAAAAAAAAGGGCAGTTTCAACACAACCGCAAAACTGGGGGAATAAAGTTATTTGATTTTTATGATTAAATAATTTCGATCATGTGTTTCTGTGCGCAGGGCAGCGGGCGTGGTCTGCACGCAGTGTCCGCCCACAAAGAGTCCCAGACCTGATGGTGTCAGAAAAGGGCGCTCAATGCAACTTCAGCAGGCAGCATGCAGCAACCTGCAGGACGCACAGCTGAGCAGTTCTCACACAACTTCTGGTATGTTTGTCATTTATTTCAATGAAATACTTTATCACTAAGGTTTTATAGTTTATGGTAGATATATTGCTATCAATTTGTGTATTAATATGAAATATTTGCTTATATCTGACTGTTATTTGTGATCTAAAGAATGATTATTATTATCGTGACAGATTCTGGGTTTTTATCATAAACACCAATCGTGACAGTTTACCAATGATAACAGCGACTGCTTTTTTGTATGTAAATGTTAACCATATAATTATTGATTCGTAGGCCTATTATAAAAGATTGTGGGCTTAATTTTTAATGCAAATGCAGTACAATGCATTTTGACATATGTTGTTATGGTTTAATGTCAAAAAGGGAACAATTTGGCACTTCTTTAAGTTGTGTCTCTTGCGTTGTTTAAACGTGTGTTGGCGTGTGATGTGTCTGTCAACCCAGTGTTAATGAGTCTGGGTGTGAGAAAGTCTGACCATAGTTATTCCCACTGCAGCTCACGGATGACCGAGTTGCTTTCTGCGAGGCATCATGTCTAAGCGGTGAGTCATAAAAAGGTCTGTATGTGTTAGATCTATGAACTTTATATCTGTGTAAAAAAGTATGCTCAATTTCTGCAGAAAAAAATTGAATATCCAGCTCACTGCGGGGTTCGTGTAAAAGGAGCAAAGATTCATAATCACGTTTACGACATTAACTTTATAAATGTATAAAAAATTGTAGAAGAAGAAGGAAAAACTTCTAGTTATTTTGGAGCTAGTATATAGTTACATAGAGTTTTCATTTAAAAATACAATAAAATCAGTTTTATTCAGAAATAAGAAACTGGGATCAGATGTGAATGATCTTTCATAACCAGCTTAAAGCTTTAAATCACTGTTAAAAATGAATTAATCAAAATAAATTACAAGAATTAAAAAAGATTTTAAAAAGATTTTCTGCCATATCACTTAAAAGACAAGCAGTACTGACTAGAAATGTGTGATTAATCAAACTATCAATCAGCACAGTCCAAACACAGTGCCAGTTAGGAAGGAAGGAAGGAAGGAAGGAAGGAAGGAAGGAAGGAAGGAAGGAAGGAAGGAAGGAAGGAAGGAAGGAAGGAAATGTATAAATAAAGAATATTTCTCTCTTGTGTGTGTGTTTCTTCATTTAAATGCTCAATAAATCATTTTTTTGTGTGGCGTGTTTTCTTTTTTCATGCAAAACACATCAATGGGACATTTATTTTGTGTAAATAAGAATGCAGATGGGATTTTGCATTTTCACGGTGTATCAGGTTTTCAACGCAAAATATAAAAGTTAACCTTGGCTTCATGCTTTTACACTTTTATCAGCCTCCAAACAGAATGTAATGCTGGATCGGTCATCATATATCTTGTTGGGCTATAAAAAATACCTACATTAATATAACGGATTTTGCAAATTAAATAAAAAAATAAACCTCCAACACTAATAGACGTCTGATTGCACGCGCCTCAGTTCACCACCAAAAGCAATTTGCACGCGCCAATCGGTTGATGGTTTGCAGACGAGGCGGAATGAGCTTATCTGCACTTTCAAGAGCAATTTTAAGACCCACTTGGAAACGTTAAAAAAAAAAAAAACTGGAATAGACCTGCTTATTGTTACCACTAATTGATTTTTTAAAAATGTTTTATCTTATTTAATGTATGACAGGTTCTAAATCTGATTTGGTGAATCCGAAAGTCATAATAAACTATATTTGTCAAATGTAGCTACATGTGAGATTTTTTTTGTAATATTATTATTATTGAAACCACACTCATAAATCAGCCTATTGGTATTATTGTTCAAGGGCTCTGAACTTGATCCGAGGGGATCCTGGTTTGAATTTTCCCGGGCAGGAGCAGATGTGAGCAAACAATAGATGGGGCCCACGCCCTGAATAAATGAGATTCATTTGAATAACAGTCTCACGTCTGACGCGTGCGAGGAATATCCCAGCTTCCCAGGCTCATGGTGGGAAAAATAAAAATGAAAAACCGTTGACGGACCCCCCACCCCCACTCAACCTTGTTCACTTCAATTGGGAATTAACTGTTGACTGGTTCAAAGAGGGGGAGAAGCGCTTTAAGGAAGGCTGGGAAAACACTTCACAATATTAGAGGCCGTCAAAAGCTGCAGCTGCACCATAGAAACGGCTTGCTTTAAATATAATGATGGTGTCATAATGTATATTTCAGGCAGCAAGGAAGAGGTAATAGGCCTACATTATATGCAAACAAATGAACTATTGGTTTGGTTTCTGATTTAAAATTAGAAATGTTTCCAAGTGAAAAATAAAAAAAACAGTAAAACTCAGTTTCCTGTATAGTTTAACAAAAGAGCTGGGGAAATTATACAAGAAAAATCATATGGTTGGAAAAAAAAAAGGTTTTGTCTCATGATGTGGAACTTCAGCCGTGTCACTGGCAAATCAAAAAAATGCAAAGGGAAGCAAATATATTAAAATATCCCTAAAAAATTAATTAAATGAAGTATTATTCTTATAGGTTATTGAATTCAAATCAAAATTAGAATAGACTGTAAAGCAAATGTTCACATTTAAAAAAGGTTTCTAAAATGATATTAAATCAGGAGAACATAGTCTGATTACTGGAAACCCCAAAATAATAATGTAAAAAAAAGAAAAAAAAAAAAAAAAAAAAAAAAAAAGAACAATAAATATTTTATAAAGTGCAGCAAACAAGAATGACCGGCACAATTATGCAGGTATCAATAGAAAACATGAATACAGACCTGCGCATCAGTGCAGAAAT